CTAATTTTATACATTTCTTGTGAAAGAAACACTTCTTATTCAACGTCCATAAAAATTATTTATATTAATGATGTCTCCAAAGGTCAAGTTATTTTTCTGCCAAAAATTCGTTATCAGAAATTGCGGCCGTCGTTTCGTGTGCTGTTCCGCGATGAAAACCAGCTTTAAGCAACGGCGTAGTCGAACGGTACACACTCGGTAAGTAATCCTATAATTTTTTGTTTATAGCATAGTTTATACAGATTATTCCCAAAAAATTATACGTATTTTGGAAATGTTGAGTCGAATTAGTCTAGAATCGGTTAATTTTATAGAATAAATCCTTTCGAACAGCCTTAGTCCGTAAAGTTCCCACCTATCGGGCTGCGATTGGCTCATGTATATAATCATTCTTACAACGTAATTTTCGGTTAGCGTGGAACGTATCTAAGCGTTATAGGGGGGTCTACTGTATGTTGATTAACCAAAGAAGTTGTAATTTTGTTAGAATTTTATATGAAAAAATGTTAAACTACCAAAACTTGTACTTTTTCAAAGAAAATATAGACACTTTGTTATTTCAATTAAAAAAAATGCTTTTCAATCTTAAACATAATATTTTATTTACTCATCTTGTTGAATAGATACTATTCTTATTATCCCAAGTGAAAAAATACTTTATACACAATTATAGTATAAAAAAATTCAGCATCAAAGTTTCGGGTATATCCTACCCACCTAATAGCTGGTGTAACAATTTCTCACCTCATTCAAGCCGGGTTAATTTGAGGTGAAGAGTATATATTTAAAGTAAATAAATAAAAAATTATAATTAAAAATTGCAGCCTGGCATTGTGACAATGCCACAATAAATAATTACTTGTTTGTATTTATTTTTACTTTAATGTTACATAAATTTGAACTTTATTCTGTTTGTTTTGTTTAAGATTATATATGAATGGTATCTGAAACATTAGTGTCAGAATTTTAGTTTAAAGTTTTGTAATGTGGTCAAAGTGATTGAAAAAAAATTAAGGCCAGCTCTGTCTTGGGGTGCTGTTCTGTAAATAATAGCTGTCATAATTTGGTTATGTTGTATATACAGGTAATGTGCTAGAAAAAGTGATCATGCATGACAATGCTGCTATACAGACTAAAAGGACGACAAAGAATGAGACAGCAAGATGGATCAATTGAACATTTATGGAATGCTATTAAAACTTGAGATTTTGTATAGTAAGGTTTTGAGACAGAAAAATTTTGTTCCTAGTGTCACCAGGAATCAAATGATTCAGTGGAATGTAACTGAGGATGGTTTTATCATATTTAAATATGTCTGGAAGAGGAGATTGGACTGGTGGCTTGGGTAGTGTAACTGACAATTCATTTGCATGGTAAGTGGGAGTGTCAGGTTCAAGTCTCACTCCGGGTCGACCCTTTTCTTCCAGAATTTTCATAATGGTTTAATAAATACAAGTAACCCCCGTATAACACAGCACTTCTATAGCACGGATTCACTCTAACATGGTTAGAGAATTGGGAACATCCCCCGTATAACACGGTGGTTTTATAGCACGGGTTCACTCTAACATGGTTCAGGAATTGAGTAAAACCCTCATACAACATGAAATGTAATAAAGGGTGCGTTCTTTTATACTTCCGCATAACTCTGCATGAGCATTCTAATTGTTTTTGTGGCTACTTTGAATGCTCTTTCAACAATAATCCATTTAATGGTTAAATTTTACAATTGGGACCCTTCTTTTGCCTCTAAAAGCTCATTTTAGAATTATAGATTCTTCCATCATGATACTATCGATAGTGTGGGCGCTGCCATCTTTCTTTCGTTGTTGTTTATAAATGCCTCCTGTTGCAGAGCGACTGCTATTAACGAATGCACCCAAAAACTGTTACCAGTTGATAATGCTCATGCTGAGATCATCATATAGGATGAATAATCCTCTGGTAAAATTTACTGAAATAATAAATAAGTATGAAAACAAACCATGAAAAAACTATGAAACTATGAACCTATAAAACCTATGAAACTATGAACCTATAAGTATGAACCTATGAAAAAGAATGAATAATAAATCCGATTTAAATAAGGATTTAACACCTAACCCCCCCTTTTTGCACTAGTTCTTTGTTTCGTATAACGCGGATTTGCATAACACGGCAATTTTTTGGAAGTAACTCTCGTGTTATACGGGGTTACCTGTATTAATTTAATTATAATTATTAAATTTAATAGGAGATAGTGCCTGATGCCTTTCTCTAGTGACAAATTATTAAGTAATTAATTAAAATATAATTACAGAAAAGTAGCCTAATGTAATGCAGTAGTGGTTTGACTTTACAAATTTATTGGGTTTTGTGATGTTTATGGAATTTAACTTATTGGTTGGCTCTTTTCCAATTACATTTTTGTTATTATTGATACATCTTCAGGATAGTGTGTTTTAAAAATTTAAAAAAACTTTAGAATTAAGCAGTAAAATAATCTCAATATGTATAGTTTTTTTTCAAAATTAAAATTTAATATTGTAAAAATATTCAATGTATTTTGTTACATATTCGAAAGAAAATATTCTGTTGCTCATTCATTTTGTAGTGCTCTGCTACTATGGCTAATTACGAGGACTATTTTTTAAATAAGGTCCATTTTTTAATAAGAAGAAAAATACTATAAATATCATTAAAATATATTTTTTCCCATTTTCTACATTCTACTTTTATACTATTCTACATTTATCTACTTTTCTACATAATTTCCATTTTTGTTCAAACATTTGTCATACCACTCAAAAATTTTTTTAATTTCAACTTCAAAGAAATCTGCCACCTGCCGCCAGAAGACTTTGGGCCACGCCGCTTGTCTTGTATGGCACGGCGGAGTTTTGTCAAGGTCACGCAATAAGCATCAGAATTGATTGTTGTGCCTCTTGGCATAAAATCCACTAACAAAGACCCTTTCCTGTCCCAAACGACAGTTACTATGATCTTTTGTGCTGAAATTGAATAACAGATCGTATCTTACAGTTGGCGGGCGACTCAATTTTCTTAAACATTATAAACTTTTACAGTTCAGCACACAAACAGATGATATAACTGCAAATGGCATCTAAGCAAAGCATGCTGAAAGTGGATGCTCATGCACACTGCTGCAATCACATGTCATTCTCACTCTCATTCACAAACGGACCTTATTTAAAAAATAGCCCTCGTATTTGTATTAAATTCGTAAAATTATGTAAAATGAGTCTGTTTATTTAGGAAATTTGTATCAGTTTTTTTTTGTTAATTAAGTGCAGTGTTCTGTTGTGCGTTCCTTGTCACATTTTTGGGTCACGGCTGTTGTATCTGGTGATTGGCTATGAAGATGATCATGTGATTGGACAAGTTTCCGGATGGCAGAAGGTATAAAGCATGTGCCCCACATGGAGGAGCACCTTTTTTCTTTCCTGGAATCTCTGGATTAGACTGGACTCTCGAACCCCATTTGGACTGAAGGTGAGATAAAGATATAGTGATGATACAACGGGAGTGATAGGATTTTGGATTGCTGTGTGCAAAAATCAATCCAACTCCATCGAGTAGAGTTTCATTCCTATTACCAAATACTTTGTGTAAGAGCGTACTTAGGAATCTCTTTTACTCAGCTAGATGTTCATTTCGTTATTTCTGCGGTTATTTTCTGTTAATCAAACAAAGTGATGACCACGTGTTGGATGACAAAGAGCATCGATCTCAGATCAGAAATTGTACAAAAGAGGATGCTTAATCAGCCTGATATACCAGTTTGTAAATAATTGTATATATTAGAAATAATCGCGTAACAGTAGTAGTAATGTTGACTTAATATTACCTATGTAAGTAGAGGATAATATCATGACCACTGTATAGCTGATAAGAATGCCAGTTGTAATTTGATTAAGCTGAATTGTTATTTTGTTTCTTCCTTCATTAATATAAAATATTTGTTTCATTAATATGTCTCTTTCAATTGTGAAGTCCTCATTTCGTCATCCCACAAAAGACAAAATATATTTTGATATATCTAAGTCAATACAAATTAAATGAGTATTAAATGAGTACTAATAATTGATTAAATAATCAATTATTAGTACTCATTTAATAATAGTTGTAAACTTTACATCAATTTATATGTTAATAACTGTAGTGCTTCGCGACTATTTTCCTTTTTTGTTGTTTTGGTTTTTCTCTCACCCCTTTTCATTTTTGTTCGTGGTGCCACCTGTCCCCAGTTCACCATATATTGGCAGCCGGATTTGCTGGTTGTTGTCATGTGAGGAGGATATCCGCTGTGTAGGATATATAAGGCTGTGACCCATGTGGAGGAGTACCTTTCTTCCATATTGTTCATGACTACGATGTTCTGGCCATGTGTGTGAGATCAAGGTGCTGAGCGTTGGAGACAAGATAGCAGAAATCAGTTTGCATGTAAACAAGGATAGTGTGGCAGCAAATAACAACTTGTCCAAGAGAAAGAAGACTGGCTGAAGATTCATAGGTGCAGATTAGTTCTTCTTCAAATGTTTGTAAGTGGCGTAAGATTGTCGTGAGTAATTTTGTTAATATCTTCCATTGTTACGCATCATTCGCCGTCCCACGTTGTCACGTGTCATGAGCCCCCAAAGCTGAGGAAGGAAAGAGAGGAAAGGTGTAAACATATATAGTGTTTGCGTATACCACTTGGATACAACACGTTATTGTCAATAGTTCGTGTCTTATGTAATTATCTCATTTGTACCCTAATAAAAGTTAATTAAATACTTAGTTATTGTTGAGCTGACTTTTTTTTTTTTTTTTTTTGTGAAGACCTGTTTTACAGGGAACTCTACACAACTCTGAAAGCATAACAAAAATAAAGAATTAAGTAATTAACTTAAATGACATTTTAAATTCACTTTTTTTCATTGAATCTTAAAAATAATTTATTCAGAAAATTGGTTTTGTTACTTTAGATTAAACTATATTTATTCATTTATAACTTGCAGTTGTGGGCAGTTGAACAGAAGATTAAGAGAAGCCAGTAATCATGATAGTCCTTGGAGATTACAATGCAAAAAGTATTGGCTTCAAACAGAGTAAGAAGTTTCTATTGTATACATTATTTACTTGTTTACAATGCAATTTTATTGTAGTATAAAAGGTCAGTCAAAATTTAATGAATTGAATGCAGAATAACTGCTATGTAGACTATATTTAATATCTCAATGATAGTTATTGAAAAAATTCAAGCATTTGTCCAGTTGTGGGACAAGATTGTTTATGGCATGAGTACAAATTAGTTTGTTCTTAGAATCATTGTCACACAGCAGCTTTTACCTCCTCATCAAATATTGATCATGCAACAAATGCTGAAGTCCCCAAAGATATGTAAATTGCATCTTGACATGTCAGAGCTATATAGAATAAGATCTAGGATTTCCCATTTAATTTGGCAGAGCATATCTTGTATCACAGTTGTTGTGTGGCCTGGCATTATCAGTAGGGATAGCACCAGCTGTCAATAAATTTGGTGTTGTGATTTGATTGATTACCGTAGATTTTGTAGTGTCACTTGTTATCTCTCGGCCTTAGTAGTTGCACACCATCCAAGAAATTGATAAAGAAGAGGCCATAATGATCAAAGAATGATCAAACCAATACCGAATCATGCAGGAAAGTTTACAAGAAACTTTCCTGCATGATTCTATGTCGATTTGAACTTTCTTCATGGTGGTAATCTTACAGAAAGCAGCAGTAAAGAATAAAATGGAAAAATACCCTGTTTCCATTGTCTACTTCTGTCAGTTGCTTGAAGTGATTATACCATGTTTTGTCACAGGTGACAATTACAAAGATGAATGCCCTCTAAATGCATCAACATTTTATTTTTTTCTTATTGTATAGTTGATGCATCAAGTTATTGGCTAATGTTCTTTTGTTACATAAAGATATGTATACATGCTTTCTTATTGTGTCATGTTTTTCTGGTGTATAAGAGTATTCAGCTTGTTACATTTTGACTGACTCCTATAGGTTAGATATTTAAATAGAAATAAGTGTTTGTAATTTATTTATTTTATGATAGTGATTTATATAAGTTCATTTAATAACAGAGCAATAAAAAATTTAATTTCTTCTATTGCTTCAATAATGTTTAACAGTTTGAATAGAAGCAAACTTTGTACAGAAAAACAAATTGATATAGATAAATTAAGACATTTGTTACCAGAAAAATCCAAAATTTTGAAAGAGTAATGTTTTACATAACTTATTACAAGGCATCAAAGTTCAAACCATGATACTTCATAAAAAGTTATAGCATCTGAGTGGTAAATTAATTTAAGAACCCTCTGTCTAAGTTTGTTTATATGTCCAAAGACAAACATTTTCTACTTTCCAACAAAAAATCTTAATGATTCAATAGATGTTTATGGTCTGATTTATGACACACTGTTCTATGCATCATAGAATTAATTGGTGTTCCAAAATAGAACTCTTTATATGTTATGATTGGCTTTAGACCTGATATTGGCTTATAAATCAAGCCAAAAGCATTTGTCAAATCATTAAAAAGTTTGCTGGAAAGAAGAAAAGGTTTGTCTTTGGACATTTCAACTATTTTCGGTTGTGTTCTCCATTTTCTAAACATGCTTACAATTATTAATTTGCTTCACTACTACATTATTTTAAAACATAGCATTTTATTTTGTGTAACTATCGATAATTACTTATTAAATTTTTAAATATCATTTACATTTAATTGATTGTTTTCATTACCAGTTTATGTGGATTTTTTTAAGCCTAAAATTTTTGGTTTTTTTTCAGTAACTTACATCACACAAGGAACTCTTACTGATATAGACTTTATTACTCGAAGTGGATATGCATTTTGGGTCTTAATGACCCGTTTTCAGTCCTTACTTTTTGCACAGATCTTATTAAAACAAACAATAGTTATAAATTACATCACACATATGTGTTTACAGAGAATATTTACAAAAATTATTTATAATTATTTTAGATACCTATAAACATAAACAATATAACTAAGTTAATATTGTTTATATAAAGAATTATTATGAATTATAATATGGCTATAGAGAGAATTATGATAAAGCAATGCAAAATACCAGAATTAGACCATTGAAGGCAGTCAAAGGTCATTACTATGTATATATACAGTTGAACTTCTGTTACTGATGTGTTATTGGTGGTAGCGGGAACCCTACCAATAGACTTAATCTTAAAGGAAAAAGCTATCCTCTGCTATTGTAGAAGGGGGCACAGCATTCAAATAGGCAGGAGACAGTTTGCAGAAGGAGAAATAGACCTGAAGCTTACCTCAATAATGTTGCTTAAGCCACCTGAATGCAAAGCGATAGAAATAGCTGAGAACAAGGAAAGAGGAGAAATTGAGCTGTGTACACGTGGCTCAAAGGTGGATGAGTGTGTGGGTGCAGCCTTTTTGGCAATGCATGATGGAAAAGAGATTCACGTAGAAAAGTATAGACTTAAAGTCTACTGTTCAGTTTACCAAGCTGAAATGTTTGCAATCAAATGAGCTATTGAATGGGTGATATCAGCTGGGACAGATGGCCAAGTAATTGTTAATATGGATAGTAGGTCAGCTGTTAGTGCACTTCAACAATTTGTCAACACAAATGTAATGGCTCTGAACATCAAGAACATGATAAACAAAAGTGAAATGCATATTAAAGTTAGATGGGTTAAAGCCCATAGTGGTATAGATGGAAACGAATGTGCAGACCTCCTAGCCAAGGAGGTTGCACATTTAACAGTGGTGACTCATGGCAAGATCCCTTTATTGGGTATTAAAAAGATCATTAGAGATGAGACTAACATGGAATGGCAAGAAAGGTGGACTTATTCCAGCAAGGGTAGACACACATTCTGGCTCTTGCCAAGTTTACAGGAACGTACTAAAGACTTACATTGGCTCCAAATCAACTTCATAACTAGTCAACTTTATACCGGACACTGTAGTAGTGGAGAGTACTTAAAACGATTTGGCATAAGACGTACTGCAGTCTGTGACTATGGGGATGAGATTCAAGACCTAGAGCATTTACTCCTGAACTGTTGTAGATACGGTAAAGAGAGAATGGAGTTAAAACTGCTTCATGAACAGAACATGAGATTCCCAACTCTAGAGCTTTATCACCTAATCTGTGACAGAAACCTTGCTGGAGAACTGCAGGTCTTTGCAAGGAAGACATTTTTGTAAAGGTGGGGAGATAAGCCAACTGCCCCACCTACTTGCCGGAAAGCAACCGGCTCTATCTTGTACATGTGTGACTAGAACACTGTATATATCTTAAATGTTGTAAAATTTCTTTGTTGATTGTTTAATGTATGTCTGTACTCAGTAAGATAATTAAAGGGAATGTTCTCCTTGTGGTGTCATTGGCAGGACAAGGATGACTGATCACCATATGAGGAAATGATGATCATTAAATGAAAAAAACTTTTTAGTAGAATATTGAAATAAAATGTTTTTACTTAATTAATGAAGTTTAATTTCTATTTAGTGTACTTATAGCTTACAAGTCCAGCCTACAGAAAAGCTAGATAAATAAATAAAAGTTCTCTCTTTTATATTGTTAAATGTTAAAATCAGCTAAAATGCTGACTTGTTTTTACAAATGACTTTGGTAGGATGATACAGTTCAATATCTCATAATGTGGACAAAATATCTGTATATAAGAATAGTTTCAAATCACAATATTCATGATCAGGGGCGCCGCTAGCTGTTTGAACGCCCGTGTGCAATACCGATTATGCCTCCCCCTGTTTAACTACGATTACCTATGCTGAGCTTGCTAGAAAGGCTCTTTGCCGCCTCCTGGACGTGCCGCACGCTTACGGCGGCCCTGTTCATGATATGTTCAAAACTGTAAGAAATGGCTTTCTATCAGAAAATAAATATTTTTGATCAACTTTATTATTATTTAAAGTTATTGAATCATTGACAGTCCCATAACCAAGAATAAATCATTGGGGAGGCTACAAGGGTAAGATGAAAAAATATTAATAATATTTAATAAATACAATGTCCTGGGCAATAATAGAATATAAAAATATTCACAAATTATCAAGGCAGATAAGTTGTAGGTTTTATTTCCCTAAAATGAAGTTGAGTTAACATAAAATCCGATTCTTGTACAATGTTCGTGGTCTATCCAATTATTACAGTATTTTATGTTTCCATTATAATCATTTGTTTGGTTTTCGTGATAATTATATATCATTCTGATTTGTGAAATTATTTACAAGATTATCCTACTGTCGGTATACAATTAAAAATACAGGGAAGGGTAGATGCTAAAATGAGAGAAGTTCCTTGAAGACTCGTCTTGCATAATTGTCATCTTTTTCCTAGCCATTGAGTTGATTTAAATCCAGTCCATTGGCTTTTGACGTTTCCATTATAATCTCTAGTTGTTACCGATTGCCTATACCTGCTGCTCCAATAATGCCAAAAAAGAAAGCGAGCCACTTTTGTCAATCCTTAGTCCTTATATATCCCTCCTGTTCCCCCACTGGGTTTATTGCCACTCCAGGACTTACGGACAATGGAATTTTCAGGAAACTTACAAACAAAGGCTTTGTAACTGTCAATTGAATATGATACATATAAAAATGACAAGCAGTTGTCACGAAGTAGCCTCAAATAAAAGGTAACAACATAAATTTCACAACAGTCTTTATAGGATTGTGTTCCTGAGGTGTTGAGAAAGGACAAGAATATAAAGACATTGTTTCTTCTAATTTGTGAATATTTTTGTATTTTGAAAAAATATTATTTTTAAATAGAGAAATTTCTCATAACTCATAATAACTCTGGTTACCCAACATCACATGTTTTACATTTGTGTGAAGCTCTCTTTCTCATTACTGAAAATAATTACTTTCAGTTCAATGGAAAAATATATAAACAGACACAGGGAGTACCTATGGGTTCCTCATTATCACTTATTTTGGCAGCGCTTATTATGAGGAACATAGAACATCGTATTTTCAATGCCCCTTGACCATCCAATATTCAATTATGTATCTATGTTATGTTGATGATGT